GGGGGGGCAGGAGGAGGGGAATGTGCTCTGGGAGGGATTGCTCATCGTATTCCGCCGCCGACGTGTTCAGGTCTTGATTGATCAGCAGGAGCTGACTTGGCAGCTGTCAGATCACCACGTTGATGACGTCCAGGAGAATTAATGGCGGGAAAGGAAGAGCTACAACCTGCAGCTGAGCTGGCATCGGCATCGGCTTGAGAAAGTTTTGTTCGGTCTTGATTGACACGGTCGGAGAGATGATTGATGAATGCGAGAAACGAAGATGATGGCAGCAGTTGGATTGGATTTACAAGGAAGGACGCAGTTCGATCGATGGATCGATCAAACTGACACCTTACAAGAACGGTCAATCGACAACCGCTCGATTGGATTAGCTGATCCGACGACCGTCATCCCATCCTGTAGTTGGGCGAATCGACCGAGCAGTTGATGGGTCCAACAACGGACTGTGCTTGAAGGGACACAATGGCGATTCTGTTTTGTTCTCCAAACTAGATATAGGGGAGAGAGAGAGAGAGAGAGAGAGAGAGAGAGGGCGTAGGAAAAGGAGGAGGAAGGGGAAGAGGGGGGGGAGGGGAGGGAATGGGATGGGATGGTGGGAGTGAGAGCAAATGTGAGGGGAAAACAGATAGATTCCGCCCCCAAGAATACCTACTGGGTAGTTTAACACCCAAGTCCTCTCGTTGAGTGGGAAGCACCTGCAGGAACAAGGAACACGATGCCTGGCCGCCCGATGTATAAATAGAAAATAGATCGGTCGGGTGGACAGTCCGCTCGCCTGGTGGTGGTGTTATCTGGAATCTTCAGCGGAGGGGGGAGGGAGGGGCCCTTTCGACCGGATTTAAGAAGAACCTGAGCGGTAGTTTAGCCAGATTCATTCATAATCCGGTAGGCAGGCCGATTGTCACAGCGCCAAGGGGCCCCGTACTCAAACCAGAAGAGTATGATGTTAAGCGAACCCAATCCGTTTTCAAGCGGGGGGAATCTACCTGTTTTCCTGAATCTATACGATGAGATGATACTTGCACGTCAGTGCATCACTGACTTGACACGTGTAAATGAGCCTTTGAACGGACCATTGCTGTTCATCTGGTCTGCTTTCAAGACCCGGTTCGTAGGATTTGCTGAAACAATTTCCTCCCAGATGTTTATGATCATGTACATTAAGCTATGATCAGGCCTGATAGATAGTTCACCCCACAACCGCCGTCGTTGTTGACAGACATTGTAGTGATGGTGGTCTATTGGGGGGTTACCACACACTCACACACACACGGAGAGAGAGAGAGAAAGAGAGAGAGAGAGAGAGAGAGATGTAGATATAAGAGGAGAAAAGGATAATCGAAGCAAAAGAGCGGGGCAAGTGTTCCGCTACTAGGCCTGTTCGCTGTGGCCCCGCGTTTATCAGTTGCAGACATGAAGTGGTTGATGACCACAAGGGCTGCTTGTACATTTCCTGCAAAACTCTGTAAAGGAAAAATAGCCAAACGACAAGATCGGACTCCCACCTGGGTCTCCAAGTTATGGACGCTGTATCTGATCTGACAAATAGACAGGCAATCATTCAATCAGCCAATCAGCCAATCACGGAAGCGTCTAACGTGAAACGGGCTTATAGAAAGGCAAAGAGAGAGAGAGAGAGAGAGAGAGAGAGAGAGAGAGAGTAGGGGCAATTTTCTTTTCTCTGAAAGAAACGGAGTCTTTTGGTAGACTCTTCGTCTTTGAATTGTACCCACTGCGTACTAATAACTACACCACGTTCCATTACAGTCTTTTCGTCCTCTTGCTCGCTCATGTCCACAGAAGATAGATAGATAGATAGAGAGAGAGAGAGAGAGAGGGAATATTGCTCGACTGTCGTGTCTTGTAATCAAACGCAGGGCAGGGAACCCCTTTCTCGCTCGAACTTATCCCAGCTCTTACAACCCCTGTATCTGATTGCCCCCCAGCTTTTACTACCCCTGAATGTGATTACCTCCCATCTGTTGCTACCCCTGTATCTGATTACGCCCAACCTGTTACTGCCCCTGTATCTGATTACCCTTTTTTTTCGTTTTTTCTTTTCCTTTCTCTTTTCTCTCTTCCCCGTAACCCCCCNGGCGCCCCCCCTCGGCCCTGCCCCTTTCTCCCTCTCTCGATACTAAGCTGATGAGGGAACTACTCCTCCTCCTCGCCTGTGACCGATGATGATCGCCCTCCTTCGACCGCACAGGCACACGGAATTTTCTAACTCTTCTTGTATTTATTCATTCCATAAATGTCAAAGTCTGTGAGGAAGAGGAGTGGAGAGGTATGGCGCGGCTGCGGCGTTTCAGTTGAATTGCAGGCATTATAACGTCTAGATACAGAGTAGAGCCATTTTTTCTTTTCTCTTTAGGGAAAACATGCATCTTGCAGAGTGTGAGTGAGGTCACGCAGTTATTCATTTCCGAAAGCCGCGAGAGAATTGAGAAAGAAGGGGGGGGGGAGAAAAAACACCGAACGACTAGAGAGGCTCATACGCGGAGAGGGGTGGCTTATTTTTTACTTTTATTAGCCGTGTGAGCTCCCATTCATTTATATTTTTTACGATTTTTTATTCTATTCGTTATTTTTAAAACGGGTTGACCAACGTCCCCAAGATAGGGAGGGAGGGAGGGGGGAGGGAGGGAGCGAGGGAGGTAGGGAGGGAGGGAGCGAGGGAGGGAGGGAGGAGGAGGAGAGTGTACTTTTTTAAGCGCGGCAGGTAGGATCGTTAGGGAGCCAGAGGACAGAAAAAGACCGCTGATGGGCAGCTCTAAAATGGTGGGGAATTGGGATGGGTGGGCAGCTCTAAAGTGGCAGGAAATTTTGAGACTGATCAATTACGGCCGTTCGTGGAGCGGGAAGGCAAAGAGATTGAATCAGCGATGACCATATCCCTTTTTAGGCAATTATGAATGCTGACGCTGACGTGGACAGAAATCTGACATAGACGGTACAGGAATGTGTCTTTCTCTTTTTTTAACTGGAAAAAAGAAGATCATTGACGGCCGCCAAGAGGGTATCGACAGGCGCTAAGGAGAAAACATTGCTTCTGTCGGGACCTGCAAGTGCATGGGCTGTCTAGGTCGGGACGTGCAAGCTCAACGGGTGTCGATGTCGGGACCTGCAAGTTCGTGGGGTACCTATGTCGGGACCTGCAAGTTCTTAGGGCCCAATGAGGTGATGGGGAGTTCGGAGGGATGAGATGGACGGCTTGGGGTCGGTGAAGGGAGGTGGAGAGAGGAAGGAGGTGGAGGGAAGCGGAAAGGATGGGAGAATGGAGGGGTGCTTGGTGCGGGAATCTTGTGCGACGCTGAAATTCAATAGCTTCCCGTTTTACTAGTTTTCAATTAAACTCTTATATATATACATATATATACATGTTTACCCTTCGTGTTTTTAGATTTAGTATTTGGCTTTGCCAGGACACTCAGGAGGCTTTGGGCAGCCCGCCACCACGTGTACCGTCGTATGTCTCATACGCCAGAGAGAGGAGGGGCAGAGTGGGGGTAATTACTGTAGAGGAGAAGGGTGTGTGTGTTGTCTACGGGGGCAGACACACACACACACACACACACACACACAGACACAGAGAGAGAGAGAGAGAGAGAAGACGTTTTGATCGCCGTGATGGCGGTGTAAGTCAGCCATTATGTTTTTCGCTTGTTTGTCTGATAAGGGAATTATTTTTTCACAGGCGTATGTCCTTTGCCTGCTGTACTTGGGCGAGATTGTACCTCAACCCCCTCCCCTCCTCCTCCTCCTCCTCCTCCTCCCACTACTACTACTCGTCCCTCTGCCTTTCCTGCTCGCTCATCCCTCCCTCGACCTCTTCGTCCTCCTGCTTTCTCTCTAGCTACGTAACTTACCTCCGTTAATCAGCTTGTAAGCATGCATGCTTTTTCTTTTCCTCCTCCTCCCGCTGCGCCCCCTTCTTGTCGTCCATCCACTACAATATTAATGTTGCTGCCTCTCGTCCGTTGATCTTGGGGATTCGTACGGCAGCATTCCACCCTCGATCGCTTGATCAAAGGATTGAGAGAGCGAGCACGCGAGGGAGGGAGCAACGGACGGGATTTATATATACATGTATATAGATGCATGTATAGATGTATGCATAGATGTATGCATAGATGTATGTATAGATATATGTATAGATGTATGTATAGATGTATGCATAGATGTATGCATAGATGTATGTATAGATATATGTATAGATGTATGTATAGATATATGTATAGATGTATGTATATACGTGCACGGAACCCACCCATTCTACATTTATCGTGTACTCTACTTACGTGGCATGTTGCTTGCTTGCTTGCTTGATTGATTGATGGCTTTCTTGCTCGATCGATTGATTGCTTTCTTGCTCCATCGATTCATTGATCAATTGATTGATCAATCGATCAATTGATTGATTGATCAGTTGATTAAACAACCGACCAATTGATTGATTGATTGATTGATTGATTGATTGATTGATTGGAGTGAATAGTCAGGCGAATGATTGATTGGGTGGTTGGTTAGAGGAAAGCCTCAAGGAATATGGTGAACGTGATAGATACAACTTCGTCGTCGTACAACTGCTACCCATGATGAAGGGCCCAATGTGGTTCGGAGGAGGGAGGGGGAAAGAAGTAAGGGGGGAGGGGCGGCGCCTGGGAGAGACGGATTCGTATGCCGGGATGACAACGTATTGATCGCCTCACCATGAGTCAGGAGGAAAAAGTTGAAGACGAAGACGGATTCGAAGACGACGAAGAAGAAGGAGAAGAAGGAGAAGGAGAAGAAGGGTCGGAGGTCTGCATTCCCGTGACTTTTGGGGGTCTTGATGCAGTGGCTTCGGTTTTGGGTCGACCCCCCTCGACCCCCCTTGCTCCGGGCGGAATCGAACCGAGGGGGCTCACTGCAGAGGGCAATGGAATGGGCCTCTGCAACCGACAGGTGATCAACGAGCCAGCCTCGGTCAGTCTCCTTGGTTCGACTACCGTAGTAGTTATCGTCCAGAGCTTCGGCATTGGCGCAACTTGTCGTGAACTTCAAGATAGTGATCCTCCGCTTCCGCTTCGGCTTCGGCTTCGGCTTCCGCAGTTCCGCAGTTCCGCAGAGCTTCGACATTGGTTCGGCGCCTGCTTCGATCTCGCTCAAAGCTCCGCCTCCTTGGGTCGGATCTCCCTTCGTGATGAACTGCCAGCTCCTCCGCGTCGGCTCCAACGGGCCCATTGCAGTCCCCCCTGCTTTGTGCTTCAGGTCCGAATCTGGTTCGGCAGATGTTCGCTACCAACCTATTATGCGCCTGCTTGGGCACGAGACCTATGTAGCTTCTGTACGAACCTGTGTACCCGCAGTAGACTTCCCCCTGCTTTGTAGTTCCGGTCCGAATCTGGTTCCTCACAGACACTCGGTGCGAACCTGTGTATGGCTGCGGTACAAGCCTATCTATGTAGCTTTGTGGTTCAGGTCCGAATCTGGCTCGTCACAGAGACTCGGTACAAGCCTATCTATGTAGCTTTGTGGTTC